TTCAGTTCAAATATTCGCTTCCATAAATTCAGTGGATCAAATTCGACTGTTAAAATTCAACATTTCATCCGGGAACTGCAGGAAAAGCAATAGATTGCAGAGTGAACATCGCCAGCTGCTCTAGCTTTCACCAGCAGGTGGAGATGGAATGTAAGATTTTTAACCCAGTAAACAGGCGAGAAAAAGGCTATTAAAGGCACAAAAGTAGCATTTAATATTAATATCAATGCCTTGGACATTATAAATGATAAAAAGTATGAGTAAAATGAGTAAATGGGGTTTTAGTCATCTATATTTGCCCTTATGTAACGGAAGCCAGCTGGTGATCGCGTAAATCTCAGTTCTCGGATCCAGTGACAGACGTTGTTCTGCAATCTTATCGGAGCTTGTCTCCCATGCCGGCTCGCTCCCTGCTCGGACCGGTGCAGTTACTTGCACATAAACCGTCTTTTGATGAATATGATGTTACACATTGTCTATCTTTATTGACTCTTTCTTCCATAGACGCGAAGTATTATATTGACAGCTAAAGAATATAAACGTAAGAGAAACAGGAAAGGAAATATTATAATAATACAAAATAGATAAACATTGACAGGGCTAAGAACAATTACGAACAAAGATATTCAAAAGCAGAGAGATTTTATGAGAATGTCACACAAAACAGTTTACTTGGAACTGTTAAACAGTGTTCAGGTATGATTTAAGGTTGGTTATGGATGGGGCGTGTAATTTAAAATAATTTAACATAACGTGCGAATGCATTAAAGGAGCGTCTTCAGTTATTATTTAAACGCAGCTATGTCAGGATTGGGATAGGTTATATAATTTCATTATTTAAATTATGATTGTTGATATTAATATTTTATGACATGTATTTGGGCTATTGCGCTTAAATAAGTCATCCGTGATTCTAAATTAATATTTCTATTTATCCTTTGTAGCTATCACTTTGATATCGTCTTTCTCTTCTTTTTTCCTATTTTTTGTGGTTCTGCCACGGTTACGTTTGCAAAATGTCTTTAGTTTGTCCAGAATATTGCTTTTCCACTAAAATAGAGACGAAGCAGAAGGAAAATGAATGAATGAAATGATTGACGTTTTTATGCATATGCGGTGCGGCTTGCTCACGACAAAGACGAACGAGTGGCCGCGAGCTCCGGTGGGCGGTCAGAGCCAGCGCCGCATATCAAACTGGTTAAGAGATGCTGCATGGCTGCCAATATGATAAGAATTTTTCCGAAGTTTCAGATGATATCTGGGCTTGTGCATAATAATGTAAAATAAAAGTGAAAGTCATGATATTTGGCCAAGCATAAGAATAGCCTACAAGAGTGTTTCGATTATTATCATGACATGTCATGCTTGGGATTATATGAATAACACCTCGCTGTTTACCATTTCCGAAAGTGGAGCTGACGTCGGCGCGAAATTGCTTGTATAATTGTAAAAAGAGTGATGAATATTAATGGATTTCTTATATCTGTCATTTCTGATAATATAATTGATTTAACTGTGAGAGTAACACTCATTTAGCAAAAATGCATCCAGAATCCTCAACCAATAACTTTGTCAAGCCAAAATTATGATTTTATAGGCTAATGATTTTTTTTTTTTAAAGAAACTATTAGCTACCCTAGCAATTGTTTATTTAAATATGATCATCTCAAAATATAAAATAAAAAAATAATGGTTTGACTTTGTGAAATCATAAAATACACTTGCAGAAAAGAGTTAATAGAATAAATGAGCAAATACATTCTCTCCAGTAGATGGCGATTAAAGCTCAGTAATAATCCCATGATTTGCAGAAACCACTCAACCACGCATGTCAAACCACGCATTCTAAACATTAATCTTATGAAACTAGCTCAAGTGACAACTATATTAAATTTAAACCAGTTTAAATAAGTTTATATGTTTAATAACTGCAAAAAAAGATCAACATTGCTAATCATAAAATACAAACGGTTGCTGAAAAGTTATAAATAATGGTTTTCTCATTTAATACTGAAAACAAATTAAAGTCAGTTATAACTGCCTATTATCAAACCACAGGCGACTCATTTTATTACTTATAATTGGCTGCGACATTGCCACATTTGCGTTAATACATTTTTCTCGCCTATAGGCTACATAACAATAAAACAATATTCTGGACAAACTAAGACATTTTGCAAACGTTTAACCGTGGCAGAACCCCAATAATTAGAAAAAAGAAGAGAAAGACAGGCAGAGTGATAAAAAGGATAAATAGAAATATTAATTTAGAATCACGGATGACTTATTTAAGCGCAATAGCCCAAATACATGTCATAAAATATTAATATCAACAATCATAATTTAAATAATGAAATTATATAACCAATCCCAATCCTGACATAGCTGCGTTTAAATAATAACTGAAGACGCTCCTTTAATGCATTCGCACGTTATGTTAAATTATTTTAAATTACACGCCCCATCCATAACCAACCTTAAATCATACCTGAACACTGTTTAACATTTCCAAGTAAACTGTTTTGTGTGACATTCTCATAAAATCTCTCTGCTTTTGAATATCTTTGTTCGTAATTGTTCTTAGCCCTGTCAATGTTTATCTATTTTGTATTATTATAATATTTCCTTTCCTGTTTCTCTTACGTTTATATTCTTTAGCTGTCAATATAATACTTCGCGTCTATGGAAGAAAGAGTCAATAAAGATAGACAATGTGTAACATCATATTCATCAAAAGACGGTTTATGTGCAAGTAACTGCACCGGTCCGAGCAGGGAGCGAGCCGGCATGGGAGACAAGCTCCGATAAGATTGCAGAACAACGTCTGTCACTGGATCCGAGAACTGAGATTTACGCGATCACCAGCTGGCTTCCGTTACATAAGGGCAAATATAGATGACTAAAACCCCATTTACTCATTTTACTCATACTTTTTATCATTTATAATGTCCAAGGCATTGATATTAATATTAAATGCTACTTTTGTGCCTTTAATAGCCTTTTTCTCGCCTGTTTACTGGGTTAAAAATCTTACATTCCATCTCCACCTGCTGGTGAAAGCTAGAGCAGCTGGCGATGTTCACTCTGCAATCTATTGCTTTTCCTGCAGTTCCCGGATGAAATGTTGAATTTTAACAGTCGAATTTGATCCACTGAATTTATGGAAGCGAATATTTGAACTGAAATAAAATGAACTGAAAATTACCTTTTGAATATTATACATCGTATTTTTAAAGGGTATTGAATATTTTGTAAGTGAAATCTGAAAATTGAATATGAATTATTGAATTTTTAAGTATGAAAACGTGTTTGAAATATTTTTCGTTGAAATATTCAAAGCTTAAATATACAGATATGTTAAATTTCAGGACCTAAAAATACAAACCCTGGAATTCAAGTCATTAAAATGCAAGAACTTGTTAATACGTTGTATTATTTTTTTCAGTTTGTGATATTCAACAAGCTTTTTAATTCAAGACTTTAGGCATTGATTTTGTTCCATAGGTTTTTGTTCCTTCATAAGAAAATGTTTGGGCACCCCTGCTCTTGATACAAGTAAACAATCAAAATCCCAATCCAATTCAAAAACCAAATGTTCCATGTTACTTGGATAACGGATAACTATAAATTGTAAACGCAAAGAAACTGAATGTTTTTTATGTTTTCTTCTCATAATTTTTCCATTTGGTGATGTTTTGTAAACAAATTTCGGGAGGAGCATGCGCAGAAGTTTCAGTATCGAATACGTCATTGACAATCAACCCATTATCAAATCAGTGCTTGAACAAACCCCTATATATACCAAAGCTGTCTTACCTGCAGCATCTCACGACTTTAGCATCCCTCCACCACCCCGTCACCTCACCTCTTGCATCGAATTCCTGGGGGGAGCGTTCTGGGGCCGGGCTAGACACTTCGCTCGAATACCAATTCCTCTTTGTATTCTGATAAGGGGAGTAACTCGAGTTGGGGTGTCTCCTCGAGCTCAGGGCCCTCCCCCCGGACAGCACGCCAAATATGCTTTATACTTAAACGAATGCAAGTGTGAACTCGTGAAATGGTAATCGACATTAATTATCATAATTGCACTACTGTGCAATAACAACAATGTTTAATAATATTACAAGCCCTACACTGTAATGAGTAAATGTACACTTTTAAACAGCTTGTTATAGGGAACAAAAAAATGAAAATTCAAGACGCACTTAACAGAAACCTGAAACTGATAATGCCAATTTTTCATTTTATTATTAAATAAAGTTTTTCTTTTAAAAGAAGTTAAATTTACTCAATAACTAAAATTATACTGATTTTATAGAAACTAACATTTTTATTGAGAGACCACAATTTAAGAGGTGTCAGTTTATCAGCAGCACCCTGACAGCACATTAGCGCTATTGCAAGCAGCAGGAGCCCTCATACAACATAGAAATGTCCTGTTGGCATGTTATTTGTGCTGATTTTTCTTTTCTGGTGAGCATGAGCAGTTCATGCTTAGATAAGTATGTGTAGATGAGCGGAATATACAATACTGAGCTATTTTGAACTTTGACCATGGCGTGCACGCAACAAACCATTTTTACACAAGCCATTGAAATGAATGGGTTTTAAAGTGAAATGTTTTCCATGTCCATTGTGAATGCCGCTTTACATCATGCAGTGACTATGGATGGAGGGAGATGAAATCCATATGCTGAATCCTACTGGGGAGTGTGGCACGCCATACCATTTTTAGCCCATATTTTTGACAGTATTTCTCTTATGGCTGGTCATTTTCTAGTTGATAAATGGCAAGTTTGATAACTGATAACAGTTCATTGCATTCTGATGTTTCAAATAACTTCTTTAAACTTAAATAACAACAGAAGTACAATAAATAATGATGAGGTTAAAAAAATTCTAGGAGGCTAATATTGCCCTATAACAGAAAAGCTCATTTCTGACCCTGTATGGGTGTACACCAAATAAACTGTACACAGCAGACAAACACATCTTCTCACCTGATTCTGCCCGGCACCCTCTGAGTTTGATTTCCATCCATCATACAATTCCCTGCGAAACTCGTCCCACGAGCCCCACCGTACTCGCGGCGTAACGCCATAGCACCGTGCGTCAGTACTGATACACCTTTTGCGATCCGCCGTCGTGGCTCGTCCCTCCATCCTTGGGGTCGCACAGCGAACAGAGCCTTGGGTAAACCTTCAAGACCAAGTCCTGACAGACCAGGGCCCACTGCAAACCACATATGTGAAGGAGTGGCCTGTCCAGATGCCCATGCAGCCTTAAAAATTTGCTCAGCCTCTTCCTGTGAGCAATAGAGGAGTCGCACCTGTAAGAGGAGCAGAAGAACAAGAAATTAAATTGAAAGTTAAGATTCAATCATCTTCAGAAAAACAAATGAAGACATTTTAATCAAATCTAAAACATTTCTGTTCCTCCATTGAAAGTCGTCAACGATAATTCTGGTGTTTCAAATCATTTGAACAGAGATTATACAGGGAATAATAATCAAGTTGAGTCAAGCACTTCAGTCCAAGTCTTCTTTGTAGGCAACAGTTTTATATGATGAACATATTAAACTTTGGCTTCTGTTCACATTTACAAAACAGTTCTTTCTGGTTCTCCAATCTGACTGACTGAGAGCCTTTTCCAGCCATGCAATATTCAAGAGACAACAGCACTCCTCTAACCACTTCACCTTTGTATCGCTCCACCTGCAGCATTATTCACAACAAGTGCCATGGCGGAGGTCTAAACACACTAGGATTTGACTAATACTGCTGTTGTTTTTCATAATGCATTTTCAAGGTTTAGTTCAGCCCAACATGTACTTTGTAACCTCTATTTGTTCCAATCGCCTGAGACTTTCATCTAAACAGCAGAAGGACATTAAAAAGTCTATAAAAGGCACCAAAAATATTGTCATGTGACTTTAGTGTTTTAATAAAGCTCCTAGAACACTTTTGTGTGTCAAAAAACTATTTAGTTTGCCTTTGTCTTCTCTCCTCTGTCAGATCAAGGTGTTTACAACTATTTTTTTGGTTTCTTTTGTGGACTTTGAACTTCCTCTATAGACAGAAATGGTTCTGAGACGATGTGGAAGCTCTTGGATTTAATCTTCAATTCAATTTATGTTTATTCCTATAGCACTTCTACAATGTTGGTTATGTCAAAGCAGCTTATCAGAGAAGTTCTAGTAAACTGAAACTATGTCAGCCCAGTTTTCAGAGTAAAAGATCAGTTTTGTTCAGTTCAGTGTGGTTTTTCCCTGCTGAAAGTACAAACACTATAAAGCAAATCCATTGATGCACAACTCCACAAGTCCTAAACCAAGCAAGCCAGTGGTGACAGTGGTGAGGAACAAACTACACTAATTGACGAAAGTGAAGGAAAAAAAACAGGTTCAGTTTTTATTATTTCTTAATAAGCATAGTTTATTGTTAATTCAAAGGCTATATTTGTAAATACAGCTGATGAAAACACTTATTTAATGTTTAGAATTTATTTACGCTACTGGAAAAAAATGTTGTTTTTTATTGTAACAGAATGTGTTTATTTAACTATATTATATTAATTAATAGGGGTGTCAAAAATAATAGTTTTTTCGGTGCACTGCGATGCAGACGCGGACAATTCGAAATCAGTTCAGTAATAATCATAACCGGTTATTACTGACGTCATTTACCTCATATGCGCTCTGTCGCGAGGGAGGCGATCGCGAGTATTTACAGTGCTTTAACTATTTATGACTCATAAACTGTGCACAATTTCACTGTGTGTGTTTGCTGGATCAGTCTTTCACTAACATATTCAACAATAGCCCCTATTTCACTGAGATCAAGAGAATGAAAGTAGCCTACTCCATTTCTCTCGCTCTCTCTCTCTCTTTTTCACACACACACAGTGGCCCATTTGACCTGCTGGAGTGGTTTTTCTTCTCTTCTCGGCTGTTTTACAGCATTACTTTTGCATCCAGAAACGAGCGCGTGTCTGCAGAGTTTTCTCCACCGTGTATCATACATCAGCAGTGAGATCGCCGCTGCCGCCTGCCGCTCAGTGTCACTCATCTGTGAAGAACGCAGCGCGCAAGAGCCAATCGCAACTGTTTTTTTTTGAGGGTGTGACCAATCAAAGGGGTGTAAGAGAACTAGACAAGGATCAGAAATTGAGCTGGATATTTATATTTGTTTATATTATTTGCTAAATGCTCGTTTTGTATAAAGTTACAGTTTATATATCTGACTGTTTGTATTAAATGACAAAATTGTATTACAAATAGTATATAAATATAAATATATTCATACATTTTAATACAAGAAATGCTGCTGTGAAGAAAATATAAAACTGTGTATGGAAAGCACCGTCAATGCACCGAAATATCGAATTGAACCGAATCGATGGCATGATAATCGTAACCGAACCGTGAGACTAGTGTAGGTTCACACCTCTACTAATTAAGGTGATTGACTGCTGACATAACGATGAGGATGATGTGACGTTACCATTAGTAGCTAGGCAGTCAAAAACTTTTCATTTGTCTATTAGCAGTTAATGCACTTTTGAAAGATACTTTTACTTAGCCAGATTGCTTGCATTTCTGCTTATACAAAAAAATAAAAATAAAAATACTTTGTGTTGTTGCAACCGGCATTGTCGCTGTTCACTCGTAAAATACAACCGTTTGGTTCACTCCGCAAGCTTACGAGCTGTGTGTGCACACGAGTCTGTGTTGCAAGCTACTGTATGCGCGCACACAGCCAAGAACTGTGAAGACTTTTATACTTGATGCACTCACTGGAAAAACGAGCATTTCTAATGGGGGGATTGCCAATTGTGCAGATTAACATCAAATATCGCAAATTAGAAAAGGTTGGTCAGTTAAATTATGCTACGGTAAGTAATGTTTGTTCAGCAATAATTCTCCAGTACCGATAGCAGAAGCGTTAACATCAGAGCTTATCGATGCTTCTGTTTTTTATAATGTAGCACCGATACCAATAAAGTTTCGGTACCCTAATGCAAATGCCAAGAACCGCATAGGTTTTGAAAATGCACATAAAAACGTATGCGCATAACTCAGTAGCATGAACTTTTTATTCGGTATTAAAAAAAAAAGCACAATAACTACAATAGAAACAATTTTACCGGTTATGTGATTTTGTTATAAGAGATCATGTGATGATAAAAAATGTCTCTGAATGGACATGCCAGCAGGCTGAGCACATTGTAAAACATCTGAAATGTTGTTTTGGTCATTCTAAAAAGCCTTAACCGTTTCAGTATTAGTGTTATTATATTTTAATGACCTCCAGAATTGTCAAAAGTGTCTGTGCTCTGCGTCCCACGCCATCAAACGCCACCACGCATTCATTGCATGATGGCATAGTCTTCTGAGGAGGAAATAATTTATTAAATAAATTAATTGCTTCTCCTACTGCAACAAATTCTGTTTTTACTGTTGATATTTGGCACAAGATAATCAGGAAGTGACAATTTCGTTCTCTTTGACTCATTGGATGGAAGCGCTGCTTTATTTGCAAGTCTTTTATGTGATAATCGCATAAATTTATTTCACATCTTTGGATGCATCCACAGCTAATGCTAACTTGTCACTATATATGTGAATAAGTGCCTAAATTAATCTGTTCATCATTTAAAATGATATATTATATATGTTAAACCAAGCCATGTCTCATCAGAAGCTTAGTATTAAACCACTCAATTGATATGGATTTATTTTTTTATCTCTTTTTGATCAGATGTTTTAAAGCATCATTTTAGAGTGTAGATACAGAAGTCACGTAGATTTTATTAAAAGTATTTTAATTTAAGGTGGTGCGGTGGCGCAGTGGGTAGCACTGTCGCCTCACAGAAGGAAAGTAGCTGGTTCAAGTAGGAGTTCTGTGTGGAGAACTGTTCGTGTGGGTTTCCTTTGGGTGCTCTGGTTTCTCCCACAAGTCCAAAGACATGGCTTATAGGTGAATTGGGTAAGCTAAATTGTTCGTAGTGTATGTGTGTAAATGAGAGTGTATGGGTGTTTTCCAGTGATGGGCTGCGGCTGGAAGGGCATCCGCTGCGTAAAACATATGCTGGATAAGTTGGCGGTTCATTCATAGTCCCTGATTAATAAAGGGACTAAGCTGAAAAGAAAATAAATGAATGAATTTTCTTTTGAGTTTTGAAGATTATTTAAAGTCTTTAAATTTTGGACCAACATTAAAGTGCAAAAATGGTAAAAGAATTTTAATTTCCTAGTTTTATTGCACACAATGATCATTGCAGTAAATTAATGCAAATAAAAGTCTGTAATATTCAATGAAAATTGACTTAATATGCTAATTATTCCTGAAATATGAAATAATAATGAAATAAAAAGAAAGTTTGAGTTTCTTGAAAACATTTTTGCCTTTCTAACCATCCTGAGGCTGAAACACAAATTTCAAGTAGATTTTAAGTGGCAAGGGGGGAGGGGATTACAGTCATCAATCTCTTTCTGGCTGCTTACAATACTTCTATGATTTCAACAGAATGGGTCAATGCCTGATTTTGAACAGAATGATCTGGTCAGCTTGATATTCATGCGCTAGCTCATGTTCTTCAATATCCTTAGCTCAATGGAGTGCATTTTTTATAAATCTCACACCGGGAAATGGTGGACAAGGGCATTTTCCTCACACTTTTCAGGAAAAGGTCAGAAATGTCAGACATCTTCAGATGACTTTGATGTGTAGGGGTGTTGTTTTTCTTGCTGGAGATGGGTTGCTTTTCCCACTTGTCGACATGTAGCCATAGGCCCCTGACAGGGAGATAAAACTACTCTAGAGGGTTGTTGACTGGTGACCTCCACTTCTCCAAAAATTCCTGCAGAATAACAACTGTAGTGAAAGTAGAAGTAGGGAATCAATAGACCTTCCAGCAGGGGCAAGTCTTGGCCCTAGCTATTGGACTACACCCCCACATGTTTTTTTTTTCACTGACTGTGGGTTTCATTTTCAGCTTTTTTGGGGTCTTTCTATGATGTATCCCACTACTGGAAGTAAAGATTAAGATTAAAGTGAAGATTCCATTACTTCAACCTGTTTTAATCTTGTCTTTAATGGAATTTCTTTAGGAAGTCATTAATTTAGAAAAAAAAAATCATTTGGTTAGCCAAATTTGCACTCTGGAAAAAAATGGTGAAAAAGTTTAAAATATTAATTTGCTGGAAAATAAGAAACATGGACTCAGGCAAGTAATGTGGGTATAGAAACGTGGTTTGCCTTTTTTGTCGAGAACCTTCTACGATGGCAGTTCATTTGTAACAGGTATTTTAAGGTATTGGTCAGGTAA